TCTGACCATCAGTACTAGGGGTTGTAATTTGAATGGTTTTTTTACATACCGCATGGACATCCAAACTATCCACGCTCAATTGTTGAGGATTGAGGCCGAGACTGTCAAAAAACTAAAAGCAAACAAGTATATATAACTTCACTTTAATTACGTACGGTTCACATTAAGTCCTTCGTAAATAGGATTGTTAAAAGATTGTAATGCCAAGATACGTTCAACAAGTGGATATTTCGTGCACTATAATAAGGCTATTCTTTACAAAGAAATTTGTGTTTATGAAGATAATATCACTTTAACTTAATAAGTCTTTATATCATCAAACCTCAAGTAAAGTCAACTTCTTTCCATCTTTCTCAGCTACTATATCATCAGGATTTGTTTTGGCCTTGCGTCTCATGAACTTCAGCAGCGAGAATTGGCTCATGCAGGCAGTTGCATGGATATGCGTGTCAACCTAAAAATATTAGATATATCAGTACACATTTAACCTCGGATTTGAAGAGTGAGTCTGTTACAAGCACGGAATAATATTTCATCAGCTGTTTCAAATGATGTGTGTGTGAGTTACAGAACATGCATGCCTCGTTATCATTATGCATCGGTTGAAGCATAACTGAGAAGAAAAATTGTGGTTGAAAAAAGTATTTACGTCAAAAAACATGCCTTCCGAACGTTGTAGTAATCTCGTTTTGGCACTGCTTTGATTTCGGCCAATTCTTTCTTACTGTTCATGAGACAATGAAGATTGAATTTTCCTTCCAAATATTCTAACTGACGTGTGGCAAACGATCGACTAAAAAGAAAGTTGTCAGAGGGTATATCGTTACAGTGCACAAAAGTCCTCACTATATACAATTAACGCAATATGCTCGTCCTAATATTAGGACATACAGTAAAGGAGCTACCTTTAACGGAAAGATAACTCAACGAGTGATTACTTACACAGGCCCATTTGCACATGTTGCAAGTAGAAGATAATAATCACTGAGAAACTCGTCCCGTGATGGTGCAATCTGTCCTTTAGGTGTACCATCTTTCTTAAAGAAAACACTGTCAGGTTTTAACGGTGTACCAGCAGTGATACAGAATACACCATCTTGGTTTTCAAACTTGTAGTCAATGGCATCTGGCAGCTCAATTTGATCGTAAAAATTTTCCACTTTTTTCTGCTTGCGCATTTCACCTATTATAGAATTATTATTCATTAACAATCCAATTATTAGTGGCCACGTATATTACGATCAACCCTACATGTTTTAAAGACAGGTTCCCATTTAATCGTTACGATTGCCTCGGTCATTAAGATCGCTGAAAAGACTTTACGAGGGACCCTAGCGATTAAATTGCAATACCGAATTAGTTGGAGATCGCAGCGACGGTGGATGTAAGAGAAGAATTGCTACCTCAGCAATCGTAACTTCCCCAGCGCTGTGCGACTTGATTTGTAATCGGGAACACTATACACATACGGTATATTTTTTGCCACAAACCTTTATGACGATCAGCTTTGACTCCGCGATCCTTTAGGATTATATCAACATTAAACTCTTCGTCAATTTCATTCAATGCTTTCAAAGTTGTTTGACAGGCTTCTTGCAGGCTCATCGTCATATACTTCTCACGAACAAACATTGCTTCAGCTAACAACCTCGCTGCTTCCTTCATTTCATCTGGTATTGCATCCTAAACATTATTCGTTATAGACGTTGTTAGCTAAAACAAAGTTTTCCTTTGTCCAAGTGTTTGGTCCCAAGATTTCAAAACGTTTCCATATAAATTATTGACCGTCATAATAATAGCATTCCTAAATCCCTTCCTTATTTTCCTCCGTATAAATGGCGTGTAGGTATGTGTAGTTGGCACTTTTACACGAGTAAAAATATTACATCTTGTAACAGGTCTGCAAGCAAGGTGTTGACAAGTTGAAAACAACTTGTTAACAAGTTATAACAAACTTGTCGAATAAACAGCCAGGTCAAACATGTTTTAACAATATTGCTACAATCTTGTGTTGTAGTAGTAACAGCTGTATCAATCTTGTCAAATCAATCTTCTAACATCATGTCTGATAATACCATCGGACGTGCATATAACAACTTTTTTGGAGACTGGTTACAAAGTTTTCGCTGCCTAATTATATATAGTATATATACAGGTCACTGAGTGGGGTACGTTATATGATAGACACTGCTTCAAGTGTACTTGTAACAGACAGTATAATATAATATGGCCTCAAGCAATTCTTCAAGCAGTCCTAATAGGGGAGTCAGGAAATTGGCGAGAAATTGATCCTTTTTCACACATATTCATACATAATTAAGAAGTATCAGGCTATCCGAATGTTCCCTCTATAATTTTCAAATCCAAATTAGCATTAGTTGGCTAAACAGCCAACCCACATGCATGCATGCAGTTGCGTTTCTTTCCGATTCATTCAATTAAATCTTTCAACACACTTCGTATACAATATACAAACTTCAGCATGGAATAATGATAGATAATCTGGACTTTTGACTTTTGAGGGACACCCTGACCTAGTGAATAGAAATTACTTTTCTTGCCATTTCAACCCACTTGCGAGATAAAAAAAGCCAGCAGACTGTAATTTGCTTATCACTACTGCATTCAAGATGAATTTCTGGTCGAAACAAAAGACTGACGGAATTTATCATGCGGCAGTTAAAATTTAGAATACTCTAAAAGATAAGTTTCGAATAAAATGTATGCTTTGATCGGCTTACTGATCATCATAATACCAACAACAATATTCCTATATATACATGTGGCTGCATGATATTACTAGTAGCAAAGTCTGTTTGTTTGTGAGCATACATGCTTAAGTAAAAAAAGAAGAAGCACAAAGCAAACATGTCATATGAAATATATTAGATCAGGAATAACGGTTTTTAACACCGTAACGGGACGCAAATTTTCAGTTCTTCAGATACAGATAAGACGTTTCTCTCGCGGTAGCCACTGCCTGCTTGCATAACAAAATGCCAAAGGTGAACCTCATTATCAGGCTGAGGTAAAAGTTCTGTCATTTATAAAAGGTAAACTTGAGCTTTATAGCCTTTATTTATCGGCAAAATTTGAGGCTGGAGGACCTGTTAACGCGATATAATTCGGGTACAGAAATTTTATGTCTTTATAGCTACGTTGTGAGATAGTTAGGAAACCATGGTGGCATAATTTTATACGTTTTTTTTTAATAAAAACAATATCGCGCATGGAGTGATGGGTCTAATACTGAAGCAAAATTAGAAACCGTGACAAGTGATGTGATTTGCATTTTGCAAATTTTCTGATATGGAATCATGATATGGAAATTCTAAGAGGGAAAAAATTTTCCTTTTATTGTTTTACAGTTGCTCATCTAGGCAAATTGCCGTGTGAACTGCATGTAAACGCAAATTAGAACTCAAACTTCGTTTTAACGCCTTTGAGTTACAAAGTTTGAGGACAAAAGGCTGATTATTTAAGCAGTCATTTATTTTTAATCTCACATAAATTACCTCATATGGCTATGCAAAAATGTATGCAGCATTGTAACATGATAATTGAAATATGGTTTTAACTATTTATGGCCGGACTTACATTCGCTGCTTCCCCGCCTTTTACCACCACTCGTCTGTACTTTGGTAACTCTTCCTCGATCGGGAAAATCGGTTCCCAGTCTAATGCACGTTTTGCAGCCAGTTTGGTCTCCTGTTTAACTTGATTATGTTCGGCTGAAATCTCAGCTTTCTTTTGATCGTTGCTAGCTATGGGTTTACCCGACTGTCGCAACTGAGATTTCTTGTCATTAAAAGCTTGGAGAGCTTTACCATTTGCCTTTTGCATAGCAAGGAACTTTGCTCTCAGTCGTCTTTTCCTTGCTAGCATCGCTTGCGGATCCTTAGCTAACCTTGGCATCGTCAGACCTGAATTCGGCTAAACAAATTAAGCTTTGTTGTAATATTTATTTGTACATCTGTACATGAACGCTGAACCAAATCATGTTTTGCAAAGTTAAAGGCAAAAGCCGAAGACATCACCTGCTACCTAATTTAAGTAACAGCGTGCACTGCATTAAGACTTTGGTTTACAACTGTCTTCTCTTCGTCAACCCGGGCGAGAATGAGGTTAAAATATCTTAATTAAGCTCACAATAAACAAACCAAGTTATGACTGACAAATAACTCATACTACTATATCTTCAGTGGTGCAGGCAGGGTAGTACTATAACGTAGATATAGCTTACCGGTTAAAGTAAAAAAAAATTCCTCTGTCGGCGTTCTTTATGACAGCGTGACCGATTCAAAATGCCTGCACTGGTTTTACCGGTTGAGTTTAGATACCGCACTTGACCGCACTTGTAATGACCAACATATGCAAATGAGGTCAAAGAAACGAGTCATGTTACTATCAATAACAATTCCGGTCAGAGACAATTAACCAATGAAATCACAAAGTTGAACAAGGGAAATAACGGAAATTTCAATCGTGATAAAAGAGCCACGCGGTCTTTTGGTTTTAACAATCATCATTCATTTTCGTCATCATCATCATGCAGTGTTCATGCAGTGTTTATGAGAGCTCACTGTGCCATTATATCTAACCAAACCACCGCTCTTTTCCTCACTTTACCTCACTGTGTGTGTCATATCTAATCCACGCTCTTTTGCTATACATCTAACCAAAAATCTTCCACTAACAGTCTGTTTCATACGTATAACGTATAGAAATCATCAGCCGGCCGGTATTCGTAAACAAATAAGATATGACTGAAGAAAAATTATTGACAGAAGCACATACATCTGAGTCACAGTGAAATCAAACAGCATCAGAATGCAAGAATTTTTACAGATATGCACTTCGAGACATAATATCTATACTGCTTGGGTTGACATGCATGAACGGTATAAAGAACAGAATAAATATTTTGAGCATACCATGCAGGCATAATATCACCCCAACTAAAATTAAAAAAGTATCTTTAATTACAATTTCAATGCGATGCATGGATAATACGAAGATTATCTCAACTTTACCCATCATTGCTATACAGAAAAAAGCATTTGATATAATTTTAATATAATATTTATGTTGGTATACGATCCTTAAGGTACTCCAGCAAAGCAACGGTTCCCTTGTTCAAAACTGCTGGTCTTGGATTTCTGAAAATGTTTCCTTCCAACTGCAAAGACCTAACAACAAGAAACAATTCCGATAAATTACAATAATTAAAGTGATGAGATTCTTTAGCAATCATTTAAATTAAGCCAATTTGCAACTATGGCTGGTTGTCTTTTCCGGTGATCTTGCGAAAAAAGTTTTGCATTCTTACAATAAAACTATATGTCAATGTCCCTGGTGCTTAGTTTTGATAACTTATCAAATCTGTTTGGGCAGTCACATTTACTTCAAGATTTTCTGCATAGTATTTTACTAAAAGGAACATCATATTGTTAAGAAAGGAACGTCATAATAAAGAAAGCACGACCTTAGAGAACTGGCATTTCCTAACTCAGGAGGAACGCTGGAGATGCTATTGTTCGACAAATCTAAACTTGACAATAACTTCAGTTTCAAGAGACCACCAACGTCAATTGTAGTAATCTAGTAGAAAGTATTAAGAATATCATAATGTTAAAATACTTTATAAAGCCACTTTTAGAAATGCAATTTTTACTGGAATTATAAATTAGTTTTAGATTTATTTCACATCCTTGCTTACAAGTGCTTGACCCGTCATCTTCAATAGCTATTTAAATGTTAGAACGTTTCTTGTGTTTTCATCGACAACATCCTTTACCTGGTTATTTGAAGCAAGAATGACTTCAAGTTTCGGCAAAGAATACAAGACATCTGGAACGCTTGTAAACCTAATTATTAAAGAAGGAAACTATACATTGATTGTAGAAATCAACACAAAATCATACAATCCACTATCCTACTTCAGTTTTGAACAGGTACTGTAAAAGACTGGATGTCGAAAGTTCGTAAATTAGATCAAGTTAATCCAGAGAATGTCAATAAACTTCAAACTTCTACCTGTTGTGAGATATAATAATTTCTCTCAATCCAGTTAATAATTTGAATTCATCAGGAAGCGATGAGATCATATTATTTCTTTAAAATGAAAATAAATATTTATTTATAGTATTTGCTTGTCGAGATAGGCTATGTGTTTTGAGGAAATTTTCTTGTCGAATTTGAACTTTAGTTACCGAATATCGAGGTCAGTTAAACGCGACAGAAGACAAAACTCTGGAGGAATTTTGGTAAGGCGGTTTGATCCAAGGTTGACGCTTGTCAAGGTTTCTTCAAACGTGCACAGTCTGTAAGAAAGAACGATATTCCTTAACACAGTTTTCTCAACTGCATATAAATTTCAATTTTACATGATAACGAAAAATATACAATTTCATGATCCCTGACATCTTCCGAGACATCATCAATTTGCGCATGGGCAAGCCGGCGAGGTACCGACGGGAATCAACGAACGTCATCGTAATGCCGTGCATATTACGACGTGCATCTTATTTTTATGCATGATAATGATAGACCACACAATGACACATTCTACTTACTTCAGTGGTATTTCTTCCAGCAAATTTTTACTAAAGTCAACATTTGTTACACCAGACTCGTTTGCAACTTCCCATATTTCATCGGGAATAGAAACAGCTTTCTTTTGACTGAAAATGAAACAAAAGTTTCATGTCAACAAAATAACATGTTTCATACTCTATAAGGGAAAAGTCTCTTGATGGAATAGAAATAAATTTCACTCGCTTGCTCCACATGTAATACAGTATATAAAAACGTTATTATCACTGCTATCCCCAATATCAATACCAGTAATTTTAAGGCACGTTTCATCTGCAGTACCTGTATCCAAGTTTTTTGTGCGTAGTGAGCAGATGGGTGGTAGCAGCAGCAGGAGTGGCTTGCTCCGAAGATCCATTCTGTGTATGTTCTTGCTGATTCTCATCCGCTAAAAATTTTACACGTATTTTAAAGAAGTGCAAAAGCGATAGATAATATTCATCCAATATTAGTTGAAATATCAATTATATTTAATTTGGAAAGTGACAGTGTCTAACTCGCCTGGTATTTTATTCTTCAAGTGTTTTAACAATGCCGCAGTTCCTTTCTATATTGGGAGAATGAGAGAAAGAAATATACATAATCCCGGAGTATATTGAACTTGAAGTACGTTTTATTGATTTTCTCAACCCAAAAGAATGAACAACCCTAGACTTAAAACTAATAAATTAAACTGACACTCTTACCATTATAATATCTCGTCGGATACTTCGTAAAGGATTTCCTTCCAGTATAACTGATTTCAATTTCTCCATGTTACCCATACGATATGGAAGTCTTTGTCACGACATAAGATCAACAATGAAAATTTAGTTTTTTGAAAATCGAGTTAAAAGGGATGTAAATATACTCACTCAGAAAGATTATTGTTAGATAAGTCAAGTCTTTCGAGAACTACCATAGTTGTGATATCATTTGGTAAACTTGAAAAGAAAGTGGCAAGAGTATAACGTATCAAAAAACGCCCAAATCAATTGCAATGCAAATGCCTTACATCATGCGCGGTTAGTTCACTTAAGTTACTTAAATAAAAAGTCTGAAAGAGTGTGAAAAACATAGTTTTATTAATGCACATCTATAGGCATAGAGAAGGAAAGACTACCATTAATATATTCTTATTTCAATGGGTGTCAACTATTATTTCATACTAACCGACTTATCTGATTATCTCGAAGATCCAAAATCATCACAGATGATAAACATGAAATTTCGTCAGAATTTATGTTAGAAATATGGTTGTAACCAACATACAGTTCCTATATTAATCACAAGAAGATTGTAAATCTTGAAGCGAAATATAAATAAGGGGTAATTTTTAACGTATATTATTCCCCTCCTGACCTAGCTGCCAGATACTAGCTGTACCTCAACTGGCTCAAGTGATACAATTACAGGAAGCTATAAATATGACAGCTAGCCAGGGAAGAAAGGACAGCTTTAATTCTTTGAAATAGACTATTTCAAATTTTTGTAGGGGAGAGCTTTGAGCAAATACATGTATGCGGTGTCTTTCAAATCGACATTTACGTCAGCTGTGCACAATCTAAGTTTAAATTCACCTTAATTCCAGTGCAGGATCTCAAAGTAGGAACGCTGGTTAAATGATTGTAACGACAATCAAGTCTTTCTAATTTGCTCAGTTCACCAATATCTGAGATAAATATGTACACTTATCAGTTCAAAATTAGCCAACATTGTTAACAGGGATTTAATGTTCAAGAAACGTACAATAAAACATGCTGCACATGGGACTAAATGTGGATAGCAAAGCAGTGGTGCATGTATAGTGTATGCTGAGCACTGCATGTACTACTCTACAATACTACTGTTCGACTGCAGGTTTATTTCACAATGTCATCAATTAATTACCTCCTGGTAAAACTTCTAACTTATTGTTTGAAAAATTCAAATCACATAGAGCTAAAAAATAAATTAAGGATTGAATTAAGCCACATTTTTTCACATGAAATCTTCATACAAGCTGGAAGACGAATTTTACAATTAAATATAAAAGCAGGTAGTCAATAAAAAGCAGGTAGTTATGCATATTTGAACAATATTCCACTTAAGCTAAACTGTGGAATCATGATCATGCAATTCCGAAATATTATAATATATTGGTTTGTTATTACACCTGACATTCCTGCAAATCCTGCTGAAAATTTTCGTAACGAGTTTTGAGATGCATTCAGTTTTCGTAAACTTGTCAGATATCCCAATGATGATGGCAAAGTTTCCAGTGAATTGTTTGAAACATCCTATTTGAAATAAAGAAAATAAAGAATGACATGAGTTTTCTATGTGCTAGTGTCTTGCATGAAAGACATGAAAATACTAGAACTGTTGGTTAAATGCTATATTTATGAGTTGATCAACATAGATATATTTTGTTGCAGGGATGTAATTATATTTAACATAATATAATGCCACTGTATTTGAAAAAAATTACCAGCTCTTCCAGCTTATCCATTTGTCCAATGTTGTCCACAAGTTCCTTGAGTTGATTGTGTTGTATTAAAAGTGACACCAGTGCATTGAGATTACAAATTTCACATGGAAGACATTCAAGTTTGTTGTAACTGGAAAACAAAAATGCATTACACTGAATTGAATTGTGAAAAGCTTTAAAAAAATCTTTATTATACAAATAACATGCAATATATTTAGTACCTCAAGTTGAGTTTTTTCAGGTTTTTTAGCTCTCCAATTGCTTCTGGTAAACTTGATATCTCATTATCATGAAGCTTTAATTAAATATTAAAAAAATCTTATTGCCATTTACAGTTAATGCTGCAGCAAATATTTTATGTCAAGATTGCTTCCTAGCTGGTTTATTACAGCCATGCATAGTCATTGCAGATAGTTACATACTTGAATCAAATACAAAATATGCAGGCAATATTTGGGGTCTTGGGGATAACTACAATGTGCTGTACCACAAAAAGCTACATCAACTGGCTTAAACAGAATAAATATGGTAAATATTGTTTATCCCACATTTACACAGGTGTAAGATAATATTGAAAAGCATCACAACTTCTAGCTGACTCAAATGTAGGAAATACTGTATATCAACTCACATCAAGTACAACCAAAGCAGGCAAGAGTTGAATGTCAGGAGAAATGATGGTGATTTGATTCGAAGCAAGAATCAATTTATTTAGCTCTGTTTGATCCCACCATTTCTCGTCAGAATCCAGTGATGCATTTCTTTCTTCTTCAGGAATCTCTTGGTTGATTTTCCATACCTTATCTGGAACTGTTTTCAATTCTCGGTTCGATAGATTTAGTTGTCCAGATTTTCGAGCCTGTTTGAGAATTGCATCAGGAACAACCCCTTTGGCTTTGGCGCTGTTTTCATTTTGCCCAAATGTCTTTGCAGCAAATTTTTTTCGCCCGTACATCTTTAATTTCAATACTTGACGTAGAACTTCATGGCAGGCTACGACTATGCAAAAAACAAAAGCCAATACACGATGAGATCCAGAAAGAAAAACAAATAAAAGAATTGTCTGGATATTGTCATAAATTATGCATTTCAAAAAATAAATTGCCAAATCAGCATATTTACTTGCAAGTAAAAGGCATACATCAAAAGGAGATTTACAAACGATTTATACAGATTTATTTATCAAATAGAATTTTAGTTTTGGAATTCGCCTGCACTTACTTTCACAAGTTATTTTTCCGAAAAAAATGATTTTTATTTTAAGGATATTATAAACCAGATTTACATCGATGTTTATTTTAGTCAATTTGAGTTATGTGATTTACTAAAATTGTATGACACAACAAAAAATATGGCGGGCATCAAAGGTAGGAAGGACGCATACAATAGCTGATATTTCACAGTTGTAAATGTTGTAAAAATGAATTCACATATATATCTTATAGAAGCTATAGTTGTTAATGAAATGTTGTTTTCTTTTGTGCATATTTTTATGGAAATGAAACGAATGCATTCCTGTGATTTATCCCATTTTTAGCGTGAGTATTGCAGCTCTATGTTAAAGTACAGAGCGACTTCCTTACTAAAACTGCCACGTAAAACGTCATTTTTCACCCCGAAACACCCACCCCTTGTTGGAAACGTCAAGTGCGTTGTTCCATACTTCATGTTTGTATAATTATTATGTAGTAGCTGTATACGTTTTATAATTTAGTGCAGATATATATATTATAGCTGTTTTTGTTCGAAAACGTACCTTATATTTTCTACAATATAAACTTTAAAATGTGACAGAATGACCAATTGCTAAAAAATCACCCACCAACTCTAAACATGTCAAAGTGATATTCTATACAGCAATTTGAGTGTGGATGTCACCAATTATTACCATGGCTCAAACCGCTCCATAATTACAGTACTTCAGTACTTGTTTATTTTATACAAGCAGACATTTAGTTTCACTCAGGTTGGCACATGATTAAAATGACAACATAATGTTTTTTAAATGCAGATATATATTCACTCAGTTTTGAAGGCCTTTAGTGTAGTCCAAGATATACTAAAATCATTTATTCTAGCATGTGGCAGAAACTAGCTGGGACAGATCCAATTGGATGAGTTGTTTGTTAAACTTTGCTGCAGAAATAGGTTTTAATTGTTCATTAATTGTTTGGTTAATAATGATATCCAAAAAAAGACCCTTGTTTTAAAGAATAATACCATTAGATGTGGTATCTAGTATCTACTGGAAGCTAAGACCCTGCATTCATTCCCATTTAAGGTCAGGTATCTCACCTTATTTAAATGAACATGCTAAATTCACCTGAAATCTCAATGGAAAATTGACATAGCTTACTATCAGCAATCATGACTTAAATTTTGCACAAATAATAAAGTTGATGTTGGAAATCACTCATGGATTAGATTTATTTATTCATTTTGATTTTTAATTTTATTTATGTAAATGGTTAGTTTAGAAATGAAAGGATTGTAGAATATTACAAATTTTGGACCAAACGTTAAAAAAATTACTCCTCCGGCAGGAATCGAACCCACATCTTAAATTTGCAAATCCAGAACATTACTCTAACCACTAACCTGTGACATATTGCTTGTAGCAGTTTACCCGCATTTTAATAATAATTTTTGCGCTAGTGTGGGTTTTTAATGTTATTATTACAATTCATTCTGACTGAATTACATACAGATGATTTGTTAGGAGGCGTGATTAGAGTTTAAGAAATCTTAATTTTTCTTTTAGCGCTACGACAAGATACAGTAACTATCATGTATATATATATATTATAACACAAATGATTATTAAGAAATATATGCGCTGTATGTTCTTGTTATATCCATGAGCACTTTACTTCTCGCTTTTCCTCATAAGTTTTTGCGGGGTTTCTGACCGATTTTGATAATCGAAAGACGAAACCGAGCTTCAAGACAATCTAGCACTATTCCTTGTTCCTATGCAAGTGGCGACTAGCTTCGGTTAAAAATCCTCACAATTTAAACGAGAACAAAATAATTTTGTTCAATCCGTGCAAACATACATTACTGCCTCGCGGAATACCAGCTTCATGCACACAGAAACAGAGCACTTTATCATCTAATCAAAGCCCTCCTGACCATCTGTCCGCCCCCTCCTGACATTATCCCTAATTACTTTGCGTGCTCTGTTATCAATCATTTATGTTAGCATCGCATTTTCTTCATTTTAATTTACTCTTTGTTAATTTTAGGATAATATTGCTTTCATTTACTGGGACAATTGGTATTTTGCTGGTTGTTCTTGGCTGTGCGTTGCCACAGTATGGGTAAGAAACTTCATTATCTAAAAATTGTACATCCTGATATAAAACCGCTGTTTGATCGTAGTTTTTATTTTGCAGAATATGGTGGCCATTTTTTGTTTGTAAGTATTCATATGCTTGAGCCAAATTTTTATATGAACCTGTTCGTAGTTCGATCGTCACAGGTCATCAAAGTATCTTTAAATATCGTTCCTGCTACATCGTCATACGTTTATATTTAAATAGAAACGCATTTAATACATCCGGAGACAAAACACTTCGTACCTAAAATGGGGACATAACTATACATCTGGGGCCGGTTGTATGAAAGCCGGATAGCGCTATCCACCGGATAGTGATTTTTTCAACCCTTCTAAAAATGCTTGAATAGCTATAAAATTTCAGCTTTGTAGCCAACTTTTGTTAAAGAGGATCCTCAATTTAGGAAAACTAAGATTTAATCAAAGTTATACCCAACAATGGGCGATTTTAAAGCGATTGAAAAATCACTATCCGGTGGATAGCGCTATCCGGCTTTCATACAACCGGCCCCTGTATTCTATTTCATCCAGCGATTGCATATATGAAATTTTAACTCTGCGACCTTAAAAAAGTAGTAACAGCTTTTTCGCCGGTGAATAAAGATCGATTAAAAATTGTTCAATAGCTGAATGGTAGTTGCAATAATTTAACACTTATTTATTAATTATTATGTTTTCAATCTAGTGTTGTTTTATCTCCTTGCTCCGGTACCAACAATCATTGCTAACAGATTAAGTGAATCATATGGCATTTCTTCAGGGACATCAAAGTGAGCTGCATTCATTTGTTTTTGTTATTGTTGGGTTTTTTTGTTTTAAAGGTGGCTATGGCTTGGAGGTCGACGGCAAAAACCTGTTTTAGTCGTAACATCCAGAGTTAAACTTCCTGAACATTACACAACCTACTAAGATAGCTTAAGATATCATACTTTTAGTTCTCTATTTTAAAACGTTTATGCCTTGTCTTAGATTTTTAAAGGCCAACGTAGATTTTAATCGCCGATACTGTACAAAAACTTTAAGGAAAAAATGGAGTTCTATAACACACGATGCAGAGCAAAGACACTTCTCTGTTCTTCTGCATGTAATATCTTTCCTCTGTTCCTTTGTTCAAAGTAAACTTCGTTGTCTAACTACGCTTTGTACTCATAATTTTAGTTTATGCAAAGAAATTTCACTTTTTCTTACTTCCGGAATTGTTCTCTCAGCTTTTGGTAAGTTAGAGGTTTTCTTACCCAAATGTTTACGAAAATCAATGAAGATTACATATGTCGTAAAATAACCAGAAAATTCTAATATTAACTTATAGGCTTACCAGTCGTTCTTGCCAGAAGCGGAGTGGTTAGTAGCTACATCTTGTTATGTTTATACATCCCATCCAACCATCACTAAATTTGATTTCAAAAGATAAAATACTGATCGATACGTACGTAGTTCCTGGTGCGAGCCCATGGGAAGCCTGAAGCATTCATCAACCATGTGAGATATAGGCATACTATTTATTCTCGTCGTTATTTTTTAGATCGAATATGGCGCAATGGCGTTAGTATTCAGTGGCAATGTGATGATGTTTTGTTCAATACTGGCGTATTTCATTGTTTTTGAATCCGAAGATGACTTTGGATTCTAATGAAGGAGCGAGGGTTCTTCGAGAGAAAACGTTTCTTGAAAACAAGAACGATTATATTATTTTATATTGTATATAACTAAAGTTTACATAATTAAGTTTTTGAATCCTAGTGTTAACATCACGACTATATACGCGAATCCTGTCAGATACTTGATATGTCACACAATGTTGCTGCTAATCTTACATAAGAGACACTATTGGCATCCAATGAGACACTATTGAACAGTTATCTGCCAGTGCTACAAAAAATGCGTTGACGTTCCCATTTTTGTGATCCTGACGAGTGGGTTATCGTGTGCGTGAAGTATTTCTTCATGTAGTTGAATTGTCGCTGGATCAATCCATTCAAAATTTCATTTAGAAAGAATAATATAGACCGGCGTCATTATGGGGATATCATTTCGATGACTTATTTATTGAATTTTGGCAATGAACTCTACGATGAAATAACCCTTTAATTAGGTAATGCAATTTAATATCATAAATGAATCATAACATTCTATGTCAAGTCAAAATATTGGTTAACTTACTGATACTAACTATAATCTATTTCAAAATCTTATTTATAATTATTGCATTACGATGTATTAGAAATGTTGCACATTAAAAAAAGTTTGTCGTACTTAGAAAAACGAGAAATGTATAATAATATGTATCATATATGGACGGTTTAAAAAAAACGGTTTTATTTCAAGCATTTCAGGATACCAAAAAATCCACAATGCACTATATCGATACACCAAACTATTTCAGCTTTCATTTTTTCAGCACTAAAAAATACACAGTGTTAAATCTCGTGTATCTCATTTTATTTGAAAATTTGAATGAAAAAAATTTGGTATATCGACTATCAAGAACGTATTTGTAGCTAACACGTTGTTATAGCAAGACAAACTACATTGAATTTCCAACCAAAATTATCAGTTCATTACATTCTACAACTACACATACTAATTTAAAAATTCAATCAATTACTTAAGTGTTGCATAATCTATAAAACTGATTAACGTTTCTACAAAATGTGAAAAATTAACGTGAAAAATTTGCAATAACCTTTCTTTTTGGTCTTCTTCTGATGCCAAGACCAGTTTCACGAATTTCTTGATTTAATCTTGCGCTGGAGTGTTCTTTTAGTTCCTAAATATTTGCATGAACATTTTAGAAAATAGCACCTCTCTCACTTAGTTTAATAGTTTTGCCTCAACTATTAAAACTACTGAACTATCTTTAGACGTTATCTTTACCACAAAGCTCTTGATTGAAAAATAAAAAATGCCAGAATTTCATTGGATTTACCTGATCAAGATGTTTTATTATAGCGTAGATATTCTCCAGTCTCAACTCTCCAGGAATAACATCAGGACTGGGAGCTTCTTCTGGTGACCACAACGAAGGCTCCATCAAGCAGGAACGCAATGGCGTGTGCGATTCTGGAAGAAATTTTTCTGCTGAGAGATAACGGAATACGAAACGACGCAACGCTGTGAGGAATAATTTGAGTTTCAATGATCCATTTCTGTGATCCACCAAACTGTTTAGAATTGTTTTAGTATCTTCTGACAATTCCTCTCTGAACTGTTTTGGCAGTCCTTGGATTGCGCCATCAGCAAGCAGATCTTCCAATGCTTCATAGAGAGCAGCAATATGGGTCAGTTGGATGGAAGCTTTTGGTTCTGGTAGCAGATCAACTGGGAATGGACTAGGAAGTTCTGTTTTCCATAAATTTGCCAGTTCTACCAGTGTCTTCTTTTTCATATCCTTGTCAAAATCTGACCCCAAACTTAATAGAAAAATAATCGTCTCAATATGCTGAAGAAGAGTCCGGGCATCTTCTTTTCTTCGCTGCTTCAAACTATGCAGTCCTTGGTGAAACTCTTGTGGCAATGACTGGGTTTGAGGACATATTTCACGAATTTTCATAAGAACTTTGGCACTAGCATGGAAAAGTTCTTTGGAGAATATGAACGTTATCTTTGATTCCGCCAGGTGACACTTTCCAAATACAATTTTTTTCGCTAGTTCTTCTTCGATTTTTTCAAAATCATAATCGATATCTTCTCCAAAGCCATAGTTTGGATTTTGCGAATACTTGAGTAAATCATTTGACCAATCGAATTTGATGATTTCCTTGTCCTTAGCTTCTTGAAGAGGTTTGCATACAACGCCACAACAGGTTTCATTCCTTTCAAGAAAACTAAGAGCAGGATGTCGTGAAGATATTGATATAAGAATCATTTCGTCTAGAATGTAGTTCTGGATTGATTGAAGAATCTTGATTGCCGTTCGTAGATAGATATTTAAGTCACCCTCTGTCAGACAGTAGCCTATGTAGCTGTCTTCCGTTAAATATGGCATTTCTTCCTGGTCACGATCAACATTCTGATTAACAAACTCCCGCATTTTGTTCCATGAACCTTTGAAGTCGTTAAATGTTTCTCTGAGTTCAGTCCGCTCATCGTTACTTCTCGCTTCTCGCGTTATATGACCATCGATAAAATCAATGATGGATTTGGATTCAGCGTCCTTTCTACTAATGCGGTGTGTCAGCGCTGACGAGACCAATCGACTCCACCTCAGAAGCGGGAACAAGCAAGAGAGGTAAGGCAGTTCATCAAACTTCGAAAGAAAAACCGCTAGGACACCATGTTGCTCTTGAAAATCGTAGGATTCGAAGAGGTTCAGAAATATAGATCGTAATTCTTCAAATGATGGTTGTTTTGTTATGCGAAATAACCTTTTCAATTCTTCATTTTGCTGCTTAGGATTAGACGGATATTCATCGAGTTCCTCGATTTGGTTTTCTATCAAAGAAGGGTTTTTACTGTCATCTTTATATTTCATTCTGATTTCTTTAAGGAATCGCGAAGAACCGATCGCACTACGAAGCACATCTTCTGCAAAATTTCTAAATTTGTTTTCCCACATCAGACATTCTCCGCGTGTACAGAAAATACCATCACCGGGAGTCTTCCCTCGGATAAGTTCCGTACATTCCTCCACAACAAGATGCATGGCGTCAACTGCAGTGCGACTATCACAGGAAAGGATCGTCTGTAAGCATCGTAGATCGTCTTTGACACGATTGAAGCAGAAATCTGCTGAATCTTCACATGTTGCTTCTGAGGTGGATCCTTGTTCATTTGTTGGTAATAAAGGAAACACGTCTTCACTGGATGAAATTCCGGTTGCTATTCCAGCATAAAAACACGCATAAACGATCATATCCAATGCACGATACACAGAAGCACTCATATTAGCCGTGCATTCTTCCCATTCTTTCGACTTCGTCTCCAGATTGTAAATTTTGGCTGGCTCGGATGATAAAGTTGCTTCACTCAAAGTCTCTGTCCCGCAATTTGGGCAACTTTTTCCCCCTTGATGTTTTGAGAATTTCATTCTCATGTCGCAAGAACAGTTTACAGGGGAAGAGTCGTTGTGCAACACAAGTTGATGGAACACTCGGCGCATTCTACCGTTTCGATGTGCAAGAATCCAAGTATGATGACATTTCTGCGGGTTGGACAAATACTGGAAAAGTGGAGAGATCTCGTCCTCAATACGACTTGCTGCGACACATGAAACATGAAGTATCAACAGGGCTGTCTCAATTTCATTTGTGGATGATTCAAGAGAAATTTGTAAACCATGATGACTGAACTTTTTACTACCAATTATGCTCAAAAGAAGTTCCTTCATTACAGACGGAAGATCTTTCGCATTTTTCCTAAACCAATCAACCAATCGTTCTTCTTTGTCACTGAGATTACCAACAGCTTTTCTCACGAAAAACTCATTTATCAGGATTCCCAACAACGCTAAACGATGGTTTGCGGATTTCTCACATTTTTTCATGACCTTCGACATTTCATCTTCATTTTTTTGAGCTAGTTGCGAGAATGCACATTTCACTTCTTCATATTCCTCTAGTCGGTAAACTGAGACAAGTTCGACCTTGTTGACGATCTTGCATTGCTCCATTTGATTCCTAATCACAGGGAGATTAACACTTTCTAAACACAACTTGCGAAGATCAAACATCGTCATATTGTCACGGTAAAGTTGTTTGAGGAAGAATATTTGAAGAGATGATCTTCTTGCCCCACCGCTTGCTAGGAGAGAGTTCATCTCATTCATAACGTGAGAATATGGGGTTTCCCTAGTCAAGATGGAAGGATATTTTGATAACATCGAGTAAAATGCTCGAAGAAATGCGACGGATGAAAGAAGGACTAGGCCAATGTTATCATCGCCACCGGTCACAAAGTTTGTGGCAGAACGAAAACACCTTAGTAGCTTGCTGTCGGACTTGCTGTCGGAACTTGCTAACTGTTTAATGTTGAAATACTTATCAAAGTTCTGAATGAAGTGTATTAAATCGCATATCATGACTGCTGGATAAGAATCATGGTGTATTTGCCCAACTGCAAAAAGTTCCTTGAAAACTTCGTCGATATCTTTCAGGTTTGATTGGTCCTCTTCTATTCCTTGATCAAGAACAATGTCAATGAATATGCCTGGTGAAAGATATTCTTCCGAGAACAACAATCGATAGATGACTGGTGTCATAACCAATACTTCTTCGCCATGAAGTGACAAGACATGTTCCATTATTGCACGGGCCGACTCGGTTTCGGCATTTGTTTCGGGGAAACGACTGTAAAATTGAGCTAAGAATGTTTGTAATAAATCATGACTCCTCTGTTCACCTCTTAACTGGTTCTCCACAGGCTCGATTAACCTTTCCGTGATGATCTGAAGTGAATTATCAGCATCAAGATATCCTGGTTTAAGATCCTTCGCGATTTCGTTCAAAATGTAAAGATAATCCTCGCAGTCTCTGTTTGTCTTCACAACAATTTTCGCGTAGTCAATACATAAACGTAGAAAATGATATGCCGGGGTTGCATTGCTAACCTTTAAAGCTAACGGCAGCAAAGACGAAGAATTTCGTATCCATGACTCCAGTCCATCCTTCTCTTTCACTGTCTTTTCTGAAGGAAACATTTCTTCACAAGCCAAGGTCACCAACATGTCCTCAAAACAGTTTTCTTCTCCTCCATCATTACTCACCCTTTCACCGTCTTCATCATCGTCATTATCATTATCTTCAACATTTTCATTTTCAGATTTATCATCATCATCATCATCATCATCATCATCATCATCATCATCATCATCATCATCATCATCATCATCATCATCATCATCATCATCATCATCATCATCATCATCATCATCATCATCATCATCATCATCATCATCATCATCATCATCATCATCATCGTCGCTCTCGCTGGAACTAGACACACTATCACGTTCTTCATTATCACTTGAGTCATCGTCATCGAATCTTTCGTCAATAGTCGCGTTTCCTATGAAAGGTAACATATCTTTGTTTTTTAAGAAGAAGTGTTTTGTTAATTTCGCCAGGTTTTTCGATTGCACAAACCCATTAAAACAAGCCACTAGCTCAAGAAGATTATTTATTTTGTCTTTTGATGTCCAAACAAATAAATAAAGTAGGGCATAAAATTGAAGCGGATCTTTGGCCTCCATCGGTAACCACTGTTTAGTGAATGACAGAAAGGCACACACGGAGTAAGATATACATTGTTGACTACCAATTTTGCTGATGAAATCTGCTGTGGCAATTTGAAGTACATCAGCCATATATGAGCTCAAATGGCATTCTGGGATACTTTGTACACACAGATTTTTAAGGATCCGTGAAAATTCCCGCAGTTTCTCCAACCGTGCAGTCTCGCGAAGGTTACCGTCGTCATCGAAATTCATTTCGTTTTCCATTGCTCGTGTATACTCTTTTATAAGCAGACTTCGTGCAGCATCTGCACTCCGGAAAACTACTTGACTGAAAGGCACTCTGAGATCAAGGCGAATTCCGCCAAGAATAAACGCGTCAGCTTCGGCATACCCTGGAATATCGGTTATTGAGAAAATTGCACTATTCTTGAAACGAGAACACCATATATCCTCGTATTCATTTACTTCTTCTTCCGGTAAAAACATGTGAGGTGGCCAAGCGTTCTCTCTTTCCAAAAAATAAACTATCTTTGCTAGTGGTTGACGAATTAAAAAGGAAAGATATTGCACGATTGCCGAGGAAACGGTGGAGGAATTGAGAAGAAGTTCAGTATCACAAGCAACTTTAATTGGCCATATCTCTCCTTCCTCTCCAAACGCATCATCATTGATTAGACTAACATTTTTTACTACGAGGTTTTGAATAACTGATGTGACTTTCACAGATCCAAAAAGTTTTTTTGCAATTTGTAAAATGCTGTCTTCATTTCTTTGATTTTGGGTGTACTTTATGCAATTAAAGCACCACAGAATGGACTCTTCAGCAAATCCTTGAAATGACAATTCAGACGACGAGAGAAGACTGCCGATACTTTCATTTCGTATTTCGTTCACCGCAATCGACGGGACTTCAAGACCATCAAGGAAAACTTGTTTCCATTCATTGAGAAAATTAAACTGCCAACGCATCGTATTTTCCCTCACCGCCCGACGTACATGAACAATGATGCAGACGTGTTTTTTACCTCTCGTCGAATTCGACTCTTGATACTCCTTCGCATAGAATTTCCTTTTATCTTCGATGATTGAACGAGCAAGTACCATGTGTTTACCATCGAACTCTGGTTTACACTGAAGAAGCAGCATATCTTTGTCAGAAGAGAAAAAACTTTGAATCCTGTCTTCAAATTGCTTTTCCGATTTGTATGCTCCAAGTCGTTCTAACTGACACTTCATTGTTGTGTCCCTAAGGCATTTGGCAATGTCTGTATGAACAGTGGCGTATGTCATTACTATAGTTTTGGAGCCAACTTTCCCACCGGTCAGGTACGAAAACTCTTCATTTTCTACAACATGCGCAATAAATGACGCCAGTCCGTTGTGTAATGGCTTCTCAAAATATTCTTTAGTAAGCATATTCACTTCTCGCGGGTCTTCTTTTACACGTTCGCATTTCTGGGTGCGTAGCACTCCATCGGGTGTTGCAATCCACATAAGATCATCTTTACATTTCTTTACAATCTCTTCGTTTGATTCGTCTGTATCGTTGCTATGTAAGAGAACGAGTGATGGAAGTGTGTCTTCGTGAAAACCCATGAACATATCAGATTTTTTAAATTGCTCGTCTAAATCTTCAACACATGACATTTGTTCAACCCATGATTCTAACTCTTCAATAATTTCTTTTTGGTTTTCATTTAGCACGTCAGAGAAACGAAGTAACTGCTTTTCAAATCTGTTGAGGAATGGCGGATCAGAGTAATCGACTTTGTCATGGTCAACAAGAACAATGCAGCGAAATCCGTCGTTAACATAACACATTGGGTTGCTGTTGGCGCCAAGAGCCACTCGACAGTTCTTTCGTCCACCAACCACAGAATAATTCTGATTTAACATATCATACAGACTTCCATAGATACATTCAAGATCACGCAATATCAGGATACACTCGCGCTCCATACAAAGAATGATACGACTTAACATTCTGTAATTGTAGTCATCTGACATATCTTCCTCAAAACGACTTCCAAAGATCGTAATGGTCTCCTTTTCCGACTGTGAAAAGTTCTGCTTGAGTATGCTAACAGCTGAATCTCCATTTGTTATGAGCATCAAATGTCGAGCTTTTAGGTCGTCTAGATTTGCTTGAATAAGTGCAGTGACTGGGATTCTGACGTATTCCTCGCTTGTTGAAAACTTATCAATAAAGATCTCTTGTACTTTGCTGGATTCTGCTGGAATTCCCCCAAAGTTTCTTTGTAAAGCGATGGCAATTCGACTTATTTCCATATAGCTGCCAACACGAAGACTTTTAACAAGAGAATAATAGTCGCGAAGGCCATGGAAATTGGCGTGTCCTTGTTCAGATTGGTACTCATGATAGCCTTTTGCGAGAGAATTGAAGACTTCTCTGGGAATATCATCGACTTGTGATTTGGCATCAGCTTGATAAAGGGATATTGCTGTCTCTTCAAGATCCTTAACTGTGGGTTCTGGTCGTGACAAATGAATTGCTCTGTTCATTTTAGCGGCATCCAACGCCCAATTTGAAATACCAACAACTGCAACGTCTGGTAATTCGCCTTTTCCTGGTTCTAAAATACTGTGCAGAACTTTGAGAGGATTGTTTGGAGAATTCTCCGCCAAACCAACTTCATCAAGAAGAACAACCGGCAACACACTCGTGTCTTTGTTGTGATGCTTGTAATTTGATGCTTTTTCAAAAATTTGGTTTATTCCTTCGGACGTGGAAGATTCCGAGCCTTGATACGAAATGACGTAGAGATGCGGTAAGGTTTTAAAAAATTGATCTCCAGAATCTTTGCCTCGAAGACTACTTCTTATGAGTTGGATTGCCAATGATTTACTGCAACCTGGCTTTCCTACCACGAAAACTGGTATACGGTTAAGAATGGATACTAGCATGACAAAAACATTCTCTCGTAGAGCAGCGTTTCTTGCTGTTCCTGGAGGGAGTTCCATTCGATCAAGATAATCTTCTTGTTCCATGCGGATAATCGCTGAAAATTCATCTTCATTTGCAACCGATGGAAATCCTTGCGTCATTTTCTTTATGTATTCCTCACGCAGTTCTTCAGTTTGTAATCTTGATAAATAGCAATGTGCCAAAGCGAGAACAATACTTTTGATTTCAGGTTTTCCATTGTATCTTTTTGTCAGGTCTTTATATTTCTTAAGATGCACAGGAACTGACCTTGTATCATTCGGTCTTTCATTCATCACTTTTGCTCGTTCTTCAAACGTCTTCATAAACCATTCAACCAGAACAATGCATCGGCGAACATCACGCAAACTCACACAGAAAGGGTTATTTTCAGATTTGCGTATGAAATCTTGAGACTGGGCGAGAAGGTCAACTAGGACACGTTGGCAAACAGGAGGAAGCTTTTGTACCATTCTTTCGATGTATTTTTTCTCATCTTGGGGTGTCAAAGAACCATAGTCCCAAACATAATCCACCATGGCTTCTGGCAATTGATGTACTCGATAGACAAGCTCAGAATATTCGTCAGTTATTCTTGCCTTCAAGACCTGCGGTGGTTGCATTCTCTTCTGGACGCAACTTGTAAGGATTACATGCCGCTAACAGAACAAGCTTCTTAGATAATGGTTGACCTTGCAAAGTATGGTGACACATGATTTCATTTATCATTCCAAGGTGATGGCAAGTATTAATTTCGTCAAGAAAAACCCATCTTTGTCCCTTGGCTGTTCGGGCATCATTGTTTTGCTCTTCAACAAATTTCTTGATTTCATCTTCAGTACGTCCAGCGTGGATGTTATATATTTTGAACGGAATTTCACAGGTTTCTGCTAAGTATTCCACCAAACTCGTCTTTCCACATCCAGTTTCTCCCATGATTATAATAGGAACATTAGCTCTCACTCGGAGTATTATCAAGATCATCTTCAACATGTTATCTGGCGTTAGCGCGTAACCAGAGAACTGTCTTCCTGCAATTTCTTCACGTTCTTCATTTCTTCGATTAGTACGCGCAATTCTTTCCAGCCTTCCGTGCAATTCTTCATGGCTCATCTTCTGAAAGTCATCCAGCTCTTTGCTTCTACCTTTCACTATTTGGCTTTTCAGTAATTCGGAAACGCTTGGCGGTACACGATCTTTGTGTCGATAAAATGCAGCTATCGTCTGTGAATCTTCACCGTGAAACACAATTAGTAAATGATTGCTCTGTTCCCATTGTATCATCCCTTCTACTCTTTGGACCATGCATTGGGCTGACGTTTCTTTGGTTTGTGTAAATGCTTCATGTTTATTACTTAAGCTACAAGTTTTCAACGAACGGGCGGCGAAATCTTCTGACACCTCAAGCAATGCAGTCAGCAGATTTCTGCGTACACCGAAAGCTTTTTCCTCAAGCATGAGCTTCAAGTTCTCAACCTCAAAGAATGCACTTCTAGAGAACTTCCGTAACTGGTTAGCTAGTATTCCGAGAAATGTGTTTAATGCCGTGAATGTAGTATCTTCATTGGTCGAATAGTACTTGGACAATAACTCACGACATCTATTAGTTGGAAGAGGTTTCACTACTTTCCTCCCAGAGAAGCGAATATCTAGTCTTTCA